CTAAATTATTTGTAAGAAAAAGGATATTTTCCACTAGAATTCATAGCAAACAGCTGAAAATGTATTTGTTTTGCTATTTTGCTATTTTGTTTTTGTTGTTTTTATCCTTTTTTATATAAATATGTATATTTTTTCCCAACACTATTTAATATTACTTTCCGCTTTCGTTTTGCCTTCGTTCGTTGGTCACTGCTTGTTGGCAAGTGGGTATCACAATTTGTAACATTTTTATGCTAAAGCGAGCGTAGTCCTTAAAAGCGCCACAAATGGCTGCAACCAACCAATATAATGGAGTCATAATATTTGTAAAAAATTGCCACCTTGTTGGCCCATTTATTTATTTTTTGTTCGTCTTTTGATATTTTATTTTTCTTTTGTTAAAACTTCCTTCCGTTCATATTAGAGTATATTTGCTTAGGCTTCATTGGTCAGCGAAATTTCCTGACGGAAATTGCTGAGGTTGCTTGTTTGCGGCGTGCTGCCGTTCTGCACGTGTTTGTATTATATACATATATACATAAGTGGACATATATGTACATTTACATATATATTTACTCACATGATATACATTTATATTAAAACCCCTCAAGACAGTTTTGTGTAAAGAAAGTAAAATGCTACTAACACATCATTACGCAAATTATGCCCTTTTTCGCACTTTACCTACATTCGCCTTTTGTTATTTGTATCCCACATAAAAGGGACATTCAAGCCATGCATATGTGGCTATTATCTTTTATGGCCGTTAGCTGCTAAATGGTTATATTAGAATACAAATGTACATTAAGCACAGTTATTTAATGGGTGAATGGCTCTCTGCCGCCAGCCTCTTATATAATATATAGTATATGTATGTACGGACACATGTGTGTTTGTATTTATAAATGTTTTCAATGTAATTTTGTGGCATACGCATTTTTTATGTAAATTCTTATTGCTTCCTTGCGTTTTCTCAGGTGTCAGGTGTGCTACTCTGATTATATGTGTACTTATATAGTGAAGAAGTTTTGCCGATGGCTTTGATTAGTCTATAAAAGTATATGTAAATAAAGATGTACAAAAATGCTGCAACTAAGCGCTTGAAAACGTTCGCTTTATTTGATGTATGTTTTGGCTATTAATTTTATTGCCCGTAAAATGTGCACAGACAGCTGTGACCGGTGTATCAACGTGTGGCTAGTGATATAAACTGAGATGAGTTGAGTATTTCATATTGAGAAGAGTTCTGCAATTGAGCGTTAAATTAAACCGCTTTTATTTGATATCATCTTGATGCGCTATATATGTCTATACATACATATGTACTTCCACTTCGATCGGCACTTTCACATAGGTCAGATAGCCATAAAATCTGTTAATACTTATAAATTATATATATGTGTCTAAATTTTTTCGATAGGTATTTGATTGAGTATGTCTGGATTTTAGCACCAACTCAACGGAAGACCCAATAACATGATTTAAGACGAACTTTAACCAAGTAAAACTAAGCGTTTGTAGGATATAAAAATGCGTTTGACAGCTATGGGATGAAAAGCAAGTTTCCCTTTACAGGGTAATATTGTAGTTTAGTAATAGCAGAGTGTTTTCTGTTATTGCATTGAACAATGTGTTCATAAACTTTTCAATGATGATCACTTCAAAAAAGTAAAAAAAAAAATTATGCGTTCAAGTCATCATTGAGGCAATTCAATGTATATTGGTTGAACCTTTGGGTATAACGACTGTCGATACCGAGAATGGCGTCGATAAGGAAAGAAGATGTTTAATAACATAAATGCTGACCTTGCTTTCATTAATTGCTTAATTGCTGTTGACGGAAGGTAGTAAGTGGATAAATAAGACAGGTGAATTTTTCATAACATAAAAGTTAAAAAATCTGTATCTTGATTTTGTTCGTTCTAGTTGTATGGTCCAGTCTGAATAATTTCTTTGGTACGATAAAAGTATAATAATCTATGCCCAATTTTGTGAAGATACCTTAAAAAGTAAACAATTTTCCATACAAGGACATAATTTTGATCGATCAGTTTGTATGGCAACTATATGCTATGGTATATCTAAAGCAAATTTTGTGAAGTTATCTTAACAAATCAAAAAGTTTTCCATACGTGAACTTGATTTTGACCGAATTGTTTGTAGGGCAGCTTTATCCTATAGTGATCCGATATCGGCGGTTCCGACAAATGAGTAGTTTCTTGTGGAAAAATGGGCGTGTGCAAAATTTCAGATCGATAACTCAAAAACTGAGGAGCTAGTTTGCGTATATACAGACGGACATGGCTTAATCCACTCAGCTCATCATGCTAATCATTGAAATATGTACTTTATAGGATATCCGACGGTTGATTCGGGGTGTTACAAACTTAGTAGCAAATTTAATATACCCTTTTCATGGTATTTAAAGTTCGGCTTAGAAACATTACTATATTTTTATATCTGATAGCGAATAAACTCAAAGAGGCTTACAATTTTATATACGCTGGGTTTAAAAGACGTATAACTAACTAAAAAGTTGTTCACAAGTGAGCTTGCATGGGAATCAATCAGCAAGATGACCATCGCGGACTTTCCTCAGAAATTAAGCTAAAGAGTAAATTCACTATTTTATTAATGTTAGATTAATATTAGATTATAATAGTTTAAGTGAAACGCCCAAATTCATTTTATAAAAAAGGTTAATCAACGCCCTTCCCCATTAGCTGTGCTGTATTACATATATTCTATATAATAATAATATATTAATAGTTATATACGTTAATTTAAAGAAAACCCCATTCACTCGAAACGCCAATTTTACTCTGAAGAAACGTTGGCACTAATGAGCCGTAAGCAATGACGCTCGATGATAAGCTCGTGTCACTACAGACTGCAAATAACCAAACTGCAAGGACACATAATTTACGGTTGAGTAAATTTTCAGCGTGTTCAATCGACATCAGCGCAGAGCTGTTGAGCACACATACACCAAAAAGATACACATATCCACGCTGAACTTTATGGGAAAATCTAAAACGAATGAGAAGTAGAGATAGCAAGCAAAAATGTCGATTTTCCGGCACATTTTCCGCAGCGATTTGCCACTATAGCAGCGGTAGCGGCAGCGTTTAAAGTGCCGAACGGTAATGATGGATTTTGCGCGTTTTACCGGCGTTTGCACAAAACACTTACTCAGCGGGTAAAATATGCGACAACATGAAATGACATTGCGGCCAGATTGATAGCTTGATGAAAGCAAATTGCATAAGAAAGAAAACCAAAATGTGAAATATAGGGGATCTATAAGACCCGGAGCTGAATATTTGGAAAAACATAACTGTATATGGAGATATGCAGTTGTGTGCCTTTGCGAATGAGTGCCATTCAAGCCAACTCTTTACGGCTTACCCCGTTTTTTACACTTATCCAGCTTGTGGCTTCTTGTGATATGTGTCAGTCATTTTTTGAGATTTTCAGGATGATACCGCATAAGTTTCCCCTGAAAGCTGGTAGCACTTCACACTCACTTGGCAGGTGCTTAACACTTACTTAGCTGACGCACATATGAAAGAAACATACATATGTACATATATCATATATATACTATCTTCATATATACAAACACTCAGAGGTAACGGTACTTCTTGCTCGTGTTACCTTTTCGTGCGGCTTTTGCAGTCAGTTAATTCATAATTTTATTTCATCTACACACACATACATATATTTTTTCATAGTGAAGATTTTCTCCTCGCCTCTCTCACTTACCACAATTTCGATATTTTCGTGCAGATTCTTGCATGACGCCGCAAATGTTTCTGAAGTAGCATATTCAAAGTACCACAGCTTGTTTTTCATGCGACTGTTGAATTTGTGTGGATTCTTCTCGCGCTCCAAGTGGAATTTAACACAGATTGCTGCATCCTGCAAATGAATTAATTAAAAAATGTATAAATTAAATATGATATTCACTTAATGTAGCCACTTTAATTTAGTTATTAAGTAGATCTTAAAGCAGTTTTAATTTTTAAGGCTCATAATTAAATACAAAATGCCGTAATTGCTTTTATAATTTCATTAGTCTCTACTTTCTTATGTTTATTATTAACTCAACTAAAATATGGTATATAAGATAGATTCTTTCTAAAACATTGGAAGTTTTCTTCGCTATAACCAAGCAGATTGAAGATACTTCAAGAAATTATTTACCGGAAATTGTATCTTTTGATCAAATTTGACCCAGACTGGTCCAAAGCGAATCGATAAAAAGGTTTTTCCTAGCTTGGCCTAAAAAAAAACAGTGTTTGAAAATCGTCGTGTTGACATTAGAGTGATAGCAGCGGATCTCAACATTTCTTATGGATCGACTCAATACATTTTTATTAATATTTTGGTTATGAATGCTGGTTGCATAGCAAAATACCTCAATCTTTTGCAATAACGACGTCGAATAGAGGTCGTAGAGACTTTGAGCGCTTGAAAGCTGAGTACATTCAATAAACTCATCATTATTGGTGACGAGACATGAGTTTATGACGTCGAAACTGTCCAACAATCTAGCGAATGGCGTTTTAAAAATGAGTCAAAACCGAAAAACCCCAAAATTGGCTGTAGGTGTTGTCGAATGTTTTTCACAATATACTATATTTCGATCAGAGGAATATTAACACGAGCATCGCAAAGAAGTTATTGAATTATGTTGCTAATGATTCTAAATTACTTAAAGAGATGTGATCAATTGATAACGATTATCATTAGACACCCTTACTGATTAACTTTGACTTTTGTCCTCCATTGTGTTGCAATTTATTAAGCTTTCTCTTCTGGCTTAATTTTATAATTTATATTTACGTTTTATAGAATAATCTACACTTATAAATGTCTTTATATTCCTTTAAAAGTCTAGCTATTCAAAGCGGCTCATCAAAATGTTCCAGAGATCACATAAACATCTGAAATACAATAAATAATCTTCACCTTAAATTCGCTTCCGTTTTGTTAATATTTCACTACACTCAGTGAATTTTACTACCACACATTTAAGACAAAACATAACGCAACATGGCATAACATTTCATTGTTGAATCACAAACAGAGATTCTCGTTAAAACTTATCACTTGTAAAAGTGTAATTTTGCGGTTTACAACTGACACCGAGTTTTAGCAAAAATTTGCATAAGCATTTTATAAACTATGAGCCTCTCTCTCTGCCTTTTCCTCTTATCTCTGCTATTTTGCAATTTGGACACATGAAATCCCGAAATGGGAAAAATTAAATGTTTTCACAAACTTTGTTGTAATCACAATTTGAAAATCATAAAGCATACGCACATCAGTATGCAGGCATAAAAATGGATAAGTTTGCAAACAAAGCAATAATTTCTACTTTGCAATGCGCACAAGTTTTGCACACAAGTGGCGTAAAAATTGCTGAGTAGCAGCATAAAACAATGCCAGCTTCTCACAGTTCAGTTGTAAGAGCCTAAGGAGCGCACTTGTATGAGTATGTGTGTATTTTTATGCGTGCAGCTACATAAATGATGATAAAATGAATGCATCGTACCCCTGGGCGAATTCACACAACGAGCAAAGTGCGCCGTTAACTTTTCAACTTTAACCGATTAGCAAGAATAGTTCACAGCAAATTGTAATGCGTTTGCGCGCCCAGCTGGAAGTAGTGAATTAGACAAAATGTGTGTTGGCAAAAGTTAGGTGATGGTTATGTTACCCCTTTGTTTTCGAACATAATAGTTTTGAAATTTTTATGAAAAACATTACAAATAACGGTGGTTAAAAAAAGTTTTTCAGTATTCTAGATTCTTTGGGTTATCAATCTAGATTTTTGGTTCATAGGATATTGTATGAAGTGTCAGCAAAGTAATTTAAGGGGCCCAACTAGTGTGACATGTGAATGAAATACTAGTTTTGAAAGGGAAATGAAAAAAATTTATTCAAAGTATTGACCATTGCATTCTACACTTTTTGGCAACCTTTTTGGCATTTTGTGGATAACATGCAAATAGAAATGTTCGTCCTTTAAAGCGAACCAATAAGACATCCAATTTTAAACTTATACGTTGGCATCTAACTGCTGCTCAGTAAATGCGTGTCCCATCGATGAAAACAAATGGGTATCGGAAGACGCAAAGTCTGATGAATACGCCGGGTGAGGTAGCAGCTCCCAGCCAAGTACTTTGATTGTATGCAGAACCGATTGTGCTTTGTGTGTAACAAAATTACTTTGCCTTGTCTTCTGGCCCCTTCTAGTCATTTTTCGAACAATGCACGGTTCAAATTGATTATTTGTTGTCTGTAGCGATTAGTAGCAACAGTTTCACTAGGCTTTAGAAGATCATGATATACCACACCATTCTGATCCCACCAAACACAGAGCATTGCCTTCTTACCGAATCGATTTGTGTTTGCAGTCGATGTTGATGATTGTTTTGAATTAACCCATGATTTTCTTTTAGGATTCTTAAAATAAATCCATTTTTCATCGCCAGTGACAATTCGATGCAAAGCTGATTTTCTTTCGATTTTTCAGTTGTTTTTCATTCAATTCATGTGACACTTATTTTCCACACTTTTGGATCTTTCCCATAGCTTTCAAACAATAGACAAATTATCACTTTCCCGTACAAAATTTGACATTTTTAACACAATAAAAAACTATAATGTTGTTTGTTTAATGACTGTAAGGTTATTGAATATGTTTGGCTATTGAATATGTTTTGGCAACCAAAATGAAAAAAAATCTAAGGCTCTTTATTAACAAATATTCCCTACCAACATATTTGGTCAATAATCGATTTTTGATCAGATCAATAAACTGGAAGGTCATGGTAGCAAATACGTCAAATGTTGCGTCGCTATACTTTGAAGCCTGTATGGTATATTTAAAAGTTTATAGTTAAATTTAGTTATTTAAAAGTATAGACTATCGAAATATGCAAAAATTATTATTATTATTTTTTTTAATTTAGGTTAGGTTAAGTAAAGTTATGGTAGTGTATATTAGGTTATATTAGTAATAGCTATCTCATAAGGGAAATATTTCGAAAATGGTAAAAGGTAACTGTTCTAATGCAATGTTTATGAAAATTGTAATCCTCATGTACTTTTTGGTGCACTAATTGCAAAAAATGATGTGCTTAGTTGCTACGACCTCAAGATCGTCGTGTTTGAATATTCTTTTTTAGAATTATACTAAAACTTGAAAGCATCATAGTAAATACTGTTATTTAGTTGAAAGTTTTGGTTATGCTAACTGTCATTTATTTATTTTTCATTTGTCGACCTTGAAATCTTAAACGTTTGCTCAGCTATAGGAAACAGAAGTTATATGTATTCTATTCAAATAGAGTGCTCGTGAGAAGTTTTTACAGGTTAAGTTAAGTTAGGTTAGCTTGGTGTAGGTTAGGTATGCTTATAGTAGGGTATGTTTGTTATGTCAATGCTATTATGTTATCTCAAGAAGGAAATATTTCGATTTTACTGTGATAGCATTATGAAATGAGAAAAGGTAACTCATCTAATTTAGTATTTAGGAAAATTGTAGGTCTCTGTTAAAGCTTTCATCTAACTTAAAATCTTTAGTGAATAGTTTCAATCATCAGATTTTTCCTTCCCGGTTATTAAAACTTTTTTAAAGGGTTTAACAGCTTCTTGAGAGCTTATTCCGGCTGCTATTACAGCTACGCATTCTGAGAGAAAATATTTGTTTATTATTGAATTTATTATCGCTAAAATGAGTTTTTCCATATCAATACAGATACTTGATATGTGGCGCTACATATTATTTCATCCACTGCACTTTTACATCCAAATTTCCTACTGAGTATATACTAATGTACTCATGTGCACGAGTACCACACTCATACTGCACTAAGGTAACTACATATTTTATGTGCACAAAGAAGGACTAACGCAAAAAGGACTGTCGTATGAAATATGACAGTCTGAGGACTAAAGAACTTAAGTTGACTCTTAACGAATGGGTGTAACACGCTTGAAGGACAAAAGTAAAGAAGGCAAATAAATAAAATGTTATAAATATAAAATTTAATACATATATGCTCGCAAGATTTACGAGATATACAAAGAATTAAAGCAGTAATATAATGGGGCATGCGTTCCACGAAAGAAAGGCGAAAATCGCTAAGACCGACAAAGTGCTAAAGGGAGCATGCAAGCATTCACTTGACGAAGAATGTATAATTTCAGCTTGGCGTGTATATTTGCATGTTTGTATATATGTACGCTTATGGGTGTATCTGTGTGCGTGCGTGCATTGATAAAACACCTTTTTATTATGCATGCGGTTGAATTGAGAAATCACTGAATAACGGTTTAACCGAGACGCATCAATAAGGCAGACAAACATAAGTAGCTTACTTATACCTTTTCATATAAATTGCGTACATACATACACCTGCGCACTCGTAAATAAATCACGTCTGCCATTTTATAAAGTACTAATGAAAACATCGATTTTGTGGTCTCACTTTGCGGATTGGCGGTCTGAATTTTTCTGCCGATTGTGCCGATTGTGGTGAACTTTTCGCCAACCGCCAATCAATCAGTCATGTTGTAATACAGCAACAAACACATTTATTACACATATAACAATATATGCATTTATCGTATGGTTGTTGTTGTATTTGAGTGTTGTTGTAATAGTGAAACTAGATCACCAGGCAGTGATTGCCTTTCAACCGCCATAAAATTGTTTCCTCTCAATGTACGTGTCCATACCCATTAAAAGCTCAACAGTTTGCCGCTAGTTGATATGTGACAACAGCACTTTGACGCAAAACAGATGCTGTCATAATCTGGTAGTCCAATTTTATATATAAAACTATGTATATACAATATATATGTATATCATGTGTAAGCGTTGGGTATTGAAACAAAAATCGGAT